CTGGCCAGGGCCTGGCCCCAGGGGGTACGCCGCCATCCCCTTCCCACCCGCACCCTCCCAGCCACAGGGCCTGGCTCACGGCCCTCAGCCCTTTGCCCCGGTGAGTCAAACCCGTGAGCCCCTCAAAGCCCTGGATGTTGCTGACACACTTAACATGGACCCCAGACCATGGTGGCGGCTCTGGGCTTGTCAGTTCGCGCGTGTGAGTGAATGTGTGTGTGCGCGTCCAGGAGTGAATGGATTTGTGTGCATCTGGGTGTGTACCTATGCATGATTGTGTGTCTGTCTCTGCATGTATACCCGCATGTGTCATATATGTAACATATATGATGTGACTCTAGGTGCATATATGTGAACTGTGCGTGAGTCTGGATGTGTATATACGTGTGGGTCTGTGTATATGTACGTGTGTGTGTGTTTCTGTATATATGGGTGTGTGTCCATGTATAGCATATAGATATGTGTGTGTGTGTGTGTGTGTGTCTGGCCCTCTCCGTGTGTGGGACCAGGGCTGATGGGACAGATGCAGACGAGGAAGGAGCTGGAGACCCCAGGCTGCTCCTTGAGCCCGCGCCCCCTAGGCTGGCTGCTAGGGACATAGGCTAAGGGGGGACAGGGAGTCCTACCCCTGGAGGACGGTCACAGCCCCTTTCTCAAAGAGGCAGAGGGAAGTGGAGGCTCTCCCTGCTGGCCTGGGTGGGGCCTGGACCCCTCCCCTCCAGGGCAGACCCCCTCCAGGGCAATGGGGACACTTAGAATATTCACCTCAAGGGTGACTGAGACCATCGGTGAAAAGCACTCGGCGCTGTGCCTGACCCGGGGCAGCCCCGCGGAAGTCAGCGGTTGGGCCCATGGTCATTATTTGCCATCACTGTGGCTGAGACTGGTGGCCGAGGTCCTGGCCGCCCTGGCCCCGCCGTAGCTCACCCTGCCTTCCACTTAGAGCTGGTGACTTTGGAAACTCTCTCCTAGGTTTGCCACCATCCAGATCCCTCAGGCCTGGGACCCAGGAGGGTGTTTTCAAGTCTCCGAGGCCTATCCCAGAGGCTGCCACAGGTCGATAGCAACAGGAAATGCACTGGCAGCGAGTGGCCCTCCAGATAACACTGGCAGCACCCGCAAGCGCCTGCCCGGGCCCCAAGCCCTTATCAGCTGCAGCCAATGTCTCCCCCCCCCCGCCCCCCGGGGTTGGGAGCCCCATGCTGACCTCCTTGACCTCTTGCCAGTGTTTGCAAACTAAGACCCAGCAGGCAGGGGGAGGGACAGGCTCGGGTCCCTGGTAAGAAAAGCCAACATGCCTGATAGGATCTCACCTGACTTGACCCTGGGAACCCCGACTCTTCCCTGGGCAGAGGCCAGGGGTCCTGGGCCCCAGAAAAAGGAGATTTGTAAATCTTAAAGTCGAAGTCACTGGAAAAGGCCCAAGGAAGTCCCTTGGGGACGCCCAGAGAAGGCAAGCCCCCTCCCCACATCAGGGTGACCCCATCTCACTTCAAAGCCCAGGACCAACCACGTGGAGTAGTCGGTGGGTTCCGGGGTCAGATCCAGCTCTGCCCAGGTGCTCCGCTCACCACATTTCCTTCTGCCCTATTCCACGTGGACACTTCAGTCACTGGTCTCTGTCCCTCTGTCCCTCCATTCCCCTGGCCCAGCCTTTCCTGGCTCAGGTCTGCCCTGCATACTCCTCCCTGAATGCATGGTCCTAAAACTTCTGCCAGAAATCTCTGATGCCCACTCATCATCGGCTGCATCAGGTTCAGAATGCTTGCAGGCTTCAGGTTCCCTGAACTCAAACTTTTGGGCTGGTGGGACTCAGCTGGTAGAAGCTAGCTGACTCCACAGCACATGCAAAGGGCCAGTGGCGGGCTGTGACTAGTGTGTCCAGCCAATAGGGAGGAGGCTAGTCTGGGCCTCACAGTCCACAGTGATAAGCATTGGCTTTTCCTTCCAGGACCACGGGGAGCCACAGAGGGCTCTGAACTGGGAGATGTGGTCTCACTTATGCTGAACAGGACCCCTCTGGCTGCACGTGGAGCACGGTCTGTAGGAAGACAAGGACAGAAGCAGTGAAGGACCATGGTAAAGGTGCAGAAAAGAGGGGGTGGTGCCTGGGTTGGGGGGCAGCTTCCGGACTGGCTTCACTGGCAGAAACTTCTGGACCTGGCAAGTTAGATGTGAAGGTGAGGGAGAGAGAGGAGTTGAGACCAACTGGAATCTCTGGCTCAGCCAGAGAGGGAGGTGATGCCTGGGGGAGGTGACGGAAGGAGCCGGGGACAGACTGCATGTTATGGGGCCCAGCTCTGCTCTGCGGGGTCAGGAGACGATAAGCCTGGTGCCTGGAGTGCACCTGGCCCTAAGTACAGCAAACCCACGACCTCCAAGCCTTTGCTCACCAGGGGCGTCCATTCCATTCCCCCTAGATCCTCAGGAGCCCCTCCATCCTGTGCAGCCAAGCTGGGGCGTCCACCACTCCCCCTCGCCCCCACCAGGTTCAGGGGCCTCCCCACTGACAGCATCAATCAGACCACACTGTGCTAAGCTTTCTGGGTCGTCTGTGCACCACTATCCCTCCCCAGACTGCACGCCACAGCAGGACCGTCCCTGGGTCCCGCAGCTTCCCCAGCTCCAGTTCCTTCACTTCCCTAAACTCATGTCCTGCCACTTTCTCCTCGCTACCCCTTCTCCAGCTGTGCACACTGGCCTCCTTGCTCCATGCACCTACCCCAGGGCCTTTGCACTTGCTGCCATCTGCCTAGGAACTGTCATTCTCCATCACCCTGTGACACCTGCTTCATAGTGCCAGTCAGTATCTGAAATGACCCCTTATGCACGTTGTTAGGTATCCCCAACTACATTATAAACCCCAATGGGTAGCATCATGTCTGTTTTGTGACTCTCCCCCAGTGCTTTGCTTCTATTACCAGGCACATGTGTCTTTGAATGAAGGAATGACTGAATTAATCTCCTCTCCGGCGTTAACACCTCTTCTGTGAGGCCCCCATGATTTCTCCAGCATGGAGTTGTGGCTCCAGCAGAGTTCTGTGAAATGCCAGGACTACCCCTGGGCTGGGCCCCTTCAGCCCCAGACTGAGACTTCCCTTCTTGTGACCTTGCACCCTGCCTACCAGCACCCAGAGGGTAGCTGGCTCAGACACTGGTGTTGTCCCTTCAGCAGCCATCACTCAGGTTCTTCTAGAGGCACCCTCCCTTCTCTTGGGGAATTGCCCCCCATTCTATGGGATTTTGGGCAGCCACCAATCACACCACCATGCCCACCTCTGCCCCCCGTTCCCAGGACGCTGCTGGGAGCATGTCACCCACGCTGAGCCCGTCAGCCCTCCCCTGGACTTGAAGTGAGCTGCAGGGGAACAGGCACCTAGGGGGCCGGGGAGTGCCCATTCCTTCCCTGCTTCAGTGGGAAGGTGGGTGGTGATGGGGGACTGCGTCTGTCCCATCACTCCGGATGCAGGGTGCAGGGTAGGGGCTCAAGGAACAGTCGATTAAAACCCCTGGCTCCCAAGCTGTGACACCAGGTATGATCATGACCTGAGCGACTGGCCCATGATGATTGTGGTGGGGGTGGGGGCACTGTCGAAGGCCCCCTCTTTGAGAGAAAAATCACAGACCAACTTTTTCTTTAAAGAAAACAAGTTTTATTTTTATAATCAGAACGTTCTAATAAAAATATTATTATAATATTAGCTACCTTTATTTTCTGGGCCTTGGCTCTGTACCAGGCGTGCCGCGAAGTGCTTGCCCACGTCGGTCAGCCCCCTGAGGCCTCCCACTTCCCTGAGGTAGGTCCGAAGGAATACCCCCAGTGCCCCCCAACTCTGCGGCCCGCCCTCCCCAAATCCCTCTGCCTGTCTCCTCTGCCAGGCTGCCCCTCAGCTCACTCCCCTCCTCCTCTGAGCCGGGGGCCGCCGCACAGCCCAGGTACCCCCCGCCCTGTTGGAACATCTCGCCTCCACCCTGGACTGAGCGAGCCCCCAAGGGAGGTGGGACATGTCTCAGGCTCCATCCCACCGCCCAGGCTGGTATACAGCAGGTAACACCACGAGGGAGGGCGGGCGGGCGTGGCTGTGTGGTTCTGCACTCGGAGGCCCCCCGCCACTGGCTGGGACACTGCGCTGCGGCCCTTGGCCAGCATCACCTTGGGCCCCACTCCCTGCCGCCCTGTGCGGACAAGGCCGGGGGACAAGCTCTGAGACAACTTGCTGTTGCCTAGCGAGACAGGCCTGGAGACGTCCGCCCTCCGAGGGGCGCTTTATCACACGGAAATACTGTCACTGTGTCCTCAGGCGGAGCCGTCGACCAAAGCAAGTCTCTCAAAGTCAAAAATAGGTTCTGGATTCTTGGTGGTGGGAGTTCCGGTTGAAAAAATAGACTGACATTCTGAAATCATCTTAGTAGCAAAACAATGACGGTAAGAAAAGAGCTGCAGCTTTAACAGAAAGGGACGTCGCCAGGGGCCCTGCTGCGCCCGGGAGCCCCGGGAGCGGGGCGGGGGGGCGGGCTGTGGTCTATAAGATGCGAATTCCGGAGGCAGGTGTCCCCGCCCAGCGGCGCGCACGGCCCCGCGGGCGCCCCTGCAGCACACAGCCCGCCCCTGCCGCGCTCGCGGGCAGCGCTGGACTAAGGCATCTCTAGCAGGACAAAGTGTCTGCAGAGCCCGACGAGCGGCCAGTCTGTGGAGGGCAGCGAGGGCCCCGGCCGGGTGCTGGGGTGCGGGAGGTGCAGGGGGAAGGGTGGCGGTGCGCGAGGTCTGGGTTGCTTCTTCGAAGAGCGTTCCGTCAGTCTTTTTCCCCAAAGTCCCCCCTCGAGGCGTGGCAGGGCCTGGATTTAAAGAGAAGTGGTCTCCAGTCCATCCGGGGTCAGGCAGGGGTTCCTGCGGGCTCTCCCGAGGCACATGTGCGGGTGTGCACCCCGAAGCGCGGCCAGCCGCTCGCCCGGCATGGGGGTGCCGGGGCCGCGGGCCCAGGGCCCAGGATGGGGCGCCCTCACTGCATCCTGTCGGGCTGCAGCTGCGGAGGCTGGTACTGCACGAAGGCGGCGCCCGCGGGGGCTGCGGCCGACAGCGCCTGAGGCATGGCAGCCGGGTAGCCGTAGCCCACGAAGCTGGCGGCCGTGGCGGGCGAGGCGGCGTATGGGTACTGGTCAAAGGTGGCCGGCGGGTACTGGGCATAGGCCGGGCTGGCTGGCGTGTACTCGATGTAGGGCGAGGACAGCGACGGGACGGGGGCAGCCGGGATCACCACACTGGGCTGGACGATGGCTTGCGGATAGATGTAGTGGGGGGTCAGCCTGCGGGGCCAAACACAGAGGGTCAGGGCGAGGCGGCAGAGCTGGGGAAGGCTGTGGGTATGGCCACGACCCACCTTCCTTGAACACACCAGATGTGCTCCTACCCCAGGGCCTTTGCACTGGCCCTCCCCACTGCCTGCAACGCACTGTCCCCCACTATCCACAGAGCTCCCCCTTCTCAGCAAGCCCTTCCCAGGGACCCCCAGCCCAACCCTACACTCCACACTCCTGCCATCCCCCATAGGGCCAGCTATGATTGGGGGGCGGGGCAGGCTTAAAAATGATTTACAATTTTCAGACGGTGACAGCAGAGCACCAAATCCAACATGGGCCTTCCGAGCACAGGTCCCCGTGTGACTGCCCAGGTCACACCCCATCCCTCCACTTGCCTGTTCATCTTCCCCACATCTGCCACCTGCCAAGTGACATCCTGCACGATCTACGGCTCTCCCCCGCCTTTCTCCCCTGCTCTGTCACTGACGGCCCGGAGCCCGGGCCGGAGCAGCTCAGCGAACACGTGCTGAGTGAGAACTACGTGAGCGATGCACTAAGGACATCGATGAAGACAAAGAGGAGGACAAGCAGAGGCTCTGGGCGCAAGGCCACCAGCCACCTCCAGTACCCACAGCGCCGGGTCTAAAACGCCCTCCACACGGTGACTGGTTGGGCCTGCCCTCAGGCTGCCCTACACAGCATCACCTTGTTTTACAACAGAGAACAGAGCTCAGGGGACCAGTGGCTTGCCCAAGGCCCCGCAGCAATATGGTGAGGGGACCCTCTGAACCCACGCGTCTGTCCCATGCTGCAGGCTAATGTGCATGCCAGCCTGCCAGGCAGGGACGGGGTCCCCTGTGTCGCAGATGGGGAAATGGAGGCTCAGGAAGGCAGGATCGGTGTGGGCCTGCTCTGCCAACCAGCCGCTGGGTGGCCCCGGGCAAGTGGCCGGGCCTCTCTGGTGGGCCTCCGGCCTGTCTGTTGTGTCAGGAGCACGGCCGCCTCACTGGGGCAGACGGCGTGGCCCTCGGCCTCTCCCCACACCAGCACGAGGAACCGAGGACAGGGCCACACCTGGGGGCAACGAGGAACCCCAACTTCTCCGGGCCCGTCAGTTGACCCCGGGGCCCCTGCCCTGCCCCTGCTCCAAAGAGAAGCTGTTTTGAAAGAACCCCCCCACCCCAACTCAGCAGGGGCAGAAACAGCGCCGTCTCGGGGGCACGTGGGCAGGACGCACACTTCCTCCCCAGGTGGGCCCCCTCAGCATCCACGAGGAGCCTTCCCCCGCACAAGGACAGATGTGCTGAGCGGACCCCAGCAGCAGCACCTACGGGACCGCTGACAAACCAGAGGAGCCCGAGCGTCACCTGCAGGGGACGAGGCAGTAGCCAATGTCCCTGCAGAGCAAGCCGCATGCGGCACCGCAACACCAGGGACCTAGGCTCAGGTCCCCGCCTCTGCCCTCCCTGCCGTCGGGAAGCGAGACACAAGCAGAACACAGGGGCCAATGACGCACAACCGTGACGTTCGTGCTCAGTGTGACACCGCTGACTCGACGACCAAACGTGTATTTGCAGCCATGCTAAGGACGGCTGAGGCTGCCTCGTGCAAAGGGCCCGAGAGGTGGCAGAGCATGTCGGGTACAGCGGATGCGCAGGAGACGTCCGAGGCCGCTGAGGCGCTGTGGCCCTTGCGGGGCGGGCGGCTTCACGTGCGTGACCAGGAGGGGCAGTGCTCACAAAGGCGTCGAAGCAGAAGCCCCCCAAGCACAGAGCGACCAACACGGTCCGTCCACGCCGCGACGAGCAACGGCGTCTGACACACGTGCACGAACCCTGAGCATGTGCGGACCGGAGCAGCCAGGCACACACGGCAGCGTCCCGCCGACAGGCAAGGCGCACACGGGCAACCCCAGGCGGAAAGCAGTTAAACTGCCAGGGGCTTCGCAAGGGGGCCGGGATGGGGAGCGAGGGCCGACGGGGCTCCGGAGCTAGACGGTGCTAGCGTCCGCACACGTCTGTGAGTGCCCTTCATGCCTGAAGATGGTGGCTGTTCGGGGACCTGTCCTTACCAGCACCGTGCAGATACGAGAAGGACAAATCCTGCAGGAGGGGGAGCCACCGGCGAGGGCAGCGAGCTGGCTGGGCCTGGTGTGGACAGGGCTGGGACAAGGACCGGCCGGGGCGGGGTGTGCTGGGGATCTGGAGAGGGAGCGGGAGGTCCGGGACACACCTGCCCCTGCCTGAGGGGTCACCGGCTCCGACCACGGCACCCTCATGGCTGCCGTTTGCCCTCCTAGGCAGCAGCACCCCGGCAGTCACCGCGGCAACACACCCCTGCTGGCGACAGGCTGTGCCCCCCGACGCCCCACCTTCTACACTGCACGCCAGGAGGCCTGGGCAGCTTCCACAGGATCCCCGCGCTCGGGGCCACAGCGCCCATCGCCCACGCCCCGGGAGCCTCTGCCGGCCACCTCCTTCCTCCCCCACGTGAACAAAAGCCTTGACCAGAGCCAGGCCTGGGTTCGAATCCTGCTCGGCATCCAGCAGCCTTCTCCCGTGTCTGCTCGGGACCGGGATACGGCGGTGAGCAGATCGCACTGCCCTGGCCCCCAGAGCTTGGATTCCAGGATGCGGACAGACACACAAACAATCCAACCCATGAACTAGAAGTGGAACTGCAGGGAGTGGTCAGGGAAGGCCTCCTGGAGGGAGCAACTGCACTAAGCCCGGAAAACAAAACAGAGCTAGCTGTGGGGAACAGCATTCCAGGCAAGGGGAACAGCAACAAAAGGGCAAGTGTGTGTGCTGGAACAGCAGGACAAGGGCACCAGGCTGTCCACTCTGAGACCAGATCCCAGACCCTCGGCCCTCCATGCCCCTGTCCCACCCCAGCTGCACACATCCGATGGGTGGAGTCCAGGGATGGCCTCCAATGCTCAAGGCCATCCCCCCTTCTTGGGCCCGTACCCGCCACTGCGTCCCCTGGAGCCCTCATCCCAGGGGGCGGCCTCCTGACCCCACCTGAGGTTGGCCCTGTTCTCTCATCTGCTCTGCATCTCAACTGTGCAGAGGGCTCTGCCCCAAGACCTAGCCCTAGAACATGCCGGGTGCACAGTGCTGCTGGAACAGCCCATCGAAAACAGTCTCCCCACTGAGAAAGACAAGGGGCTCCAGCAGTAGGGACACCGCTCAGGAAAGGAGCAAATTGGAGACACGAGGAAGCGTGTGTTGATGCAGCCCCACCAGGACGTCCCTGGCCCCATGAGCGTCCCCACCCGGCTCCGGGAGCCTCAGGAACATTCCTGAGTTAGAGGCAATGGAAGCGTGAAGCCCAGAACTTCTCCAAACATGGGCAGGGATGCCCCTGCCTGAGACAGCCCCCCCCCAAGCATTTGCTAAAAATGTGGATCCCCTGCAGACCGAGAAGTCAGATAGGGTCTGGGAATCTGCATTTGACAGGCCCCCAGGGATTCTGATACACACCCACACGCCGGACGCGCTGCCTAGACCCGGTCCTCATGCTGGTCACACAGCAGGACCCAGGGCTTTAAAAATGACAGGTCCAGCCAGCCTGAGGCAGTGGTCACATTTACCAGGTTCTACACTCTCCATTGCCAGGACGAGACCTCTGTCCCGGCCACCACGGGGACACTCCAACTTGGTGTGAGTGAGTATTTCTTAGACTGGGGAGGAAGGGAGCCCCCGTTTCCTGACACGCCAGGATACCGCATATCTGCATCTATTCACCTGCTTCCCTGGAGTGCTCAGCACTCTGCAACAAGGCTGAGATAACTTACAAAGCGTTTCAAAGCCACAAGAAGGGCTGTGTTACCCCATTTCCCAGAGAGAGACACTGAGGCTGAGAGAGGCCTGGATGATTTGCATCCTCACACAGCCAGGGAATGGCAAAGTGAAGTCGGCTTCCTTGTCCATACGCCGCCTGGGACCTGTGCCCACAAGGAGGGGCTGCTGGCTGGAGCCTACGACCCTGGGCTCACCTTGGGGGCCAGCCCGGGTCTCCAGGAGGCCACCCAGATGGCAGAGCAGCCCCCGTCCATGACCCAGCAGCCCCCAGTGATTCTGTTCCTGCCGAGGAGCTCAGTGTATCCAGAGACTGGACCCTCAACAGGTGTGTGCACCCCAGCCTTGCATCCAAAGGAAAAGAAAGAATGGCAGGTGGTGCTGCACAGTGAGGCCGGGAGAGAGGACAGTGCTGGGTGAATTGAGGGGAAGGAGCCGCAAAGCTCCCCCCGCCCCCACAGGGGATGGGCCCCACGTAGCCTCCCTCCCCTGTGTCAGCCCCTCAGCTCTGCCTCTGAACTTAGAGGCCGGCCTCAGGGCCCACTGTGAGACCTGGGACCCTCCACCAGAATAGTGGATCTCAGCCCGGGCGACTCTGCCCCTCGAGGGACACCAGGCCATGCCTGGAACATTTCTGCTGCCACCCGGTGGGTGGAGTCCAGGGATGCCGCTAACACCCCACCAGGCACAGGACAGCCCAGCGCACAGAATCCTCTAGCATCATGGCTCCCCCCACCTGGAGAGAGCCTGCCAGAGTGAACTACAAAGCCAAGGGCAGATACAAGGCTCTTCAGCGCTTTTGTGACCAGATGCCCTCGCCTGGGGCTGGGAAGGAGGCCAGGCAGGGATGGCGGGGCAGAGCCGGAGGGGTGAGCGCACGCATGTGCGAGCGGCATACACACACACACGGAACCCACTGGGCTCTCGGGTGAGAAAGAACGCCCAGCCAAACCACCTGTCTGAGGGCAGCCCCACGCCCTCCCCGGGCCTGCACATGGCAGCAGGGGGAGGTCCCGGCTGCCTGGCACTGGGGACAGGGTGGGTGTGCCCAGCAGGCTCCTCACTGCCCCACCTACTCCCCAGAAAGGTCAGGGCGCCATCAGCCTCCACGGGCCTGATCTTCAGGCCTCTGAAAAGGGCACAGGCCTCACAACACTCTGTGCTGACGAAGGCTGGCCTGCCGGCCCTGCTCACCCTCCCTCT